GCCGCGGCTGCCCTGTCAGCCGCTTTTGGGTCTTTAAATAGCCGTCCGGGGGGAATCCCGGACATTTTTAGCTTTTGACAAATTCCCCCCGGACGGCTATTTAAAGACCCAAAAGCCGGACATGTCCGGGGAAACCCGGACGTATGGTAACCCTACCATTGTGAGACTGCTTGCTACCCAAAATCTAGCACTGCATGGCACTTCAGATCAGCTGTATGGGCCAAACAATGGAAACTTCCTTAAAATTGTGGAGCTGATGGCTGAGTTTGATGCTGGACTCCAGGAGCACCTAAGAAGAGTCACCACCCAAGAAATGTACACACACCACTACCTTGGGAAAACAATTCAAAATGAGATCATACAGTTACTGGCAACAAAAGTCAAACAGAAGATTGTGGCAGATCTGAAGTCAACAAGATATTACTCTGTTATTCTGGACTGCACACCTGACATAAGCCATGTGGAACAAATGACTTTAATGGTGCGTTTTGTAACACCAGAACATAGTAAAAATGTCCCTGCAATGGTGACTGTCAGAGAGCATTTTCTAAAATTTATTGACATTGATGATACTACAGTAGCTGATATGACAAATGTGCTTCTTAAAAAGCTGGAAGATACGGGAATTGCGATAGCTGGCATGAGAGGTCAGGGCTACGATAATGGTGCCAACACAAGAGGAAAGAACAGAGGAGTGCAGACACGGATCCGATAGTTAAACCCTCGAGCCTTTTTTGTCCCATGCAGTTCTCATTCATTGAACTTGGTGGTCAGTCATGCAGCATCAGCTTCTAGTGAGGCTGCTGAATTTTTTAATGTAATTCAAAGCATCTATGTATTTTTCTCTGCATCAACTCATCGATGGCAAATTTTGAAGCAACATCTGGGAACATCCTCTCTGACACTGAAACCACTAAGTGCCACGCGATGGGAAAGTTGAGTGGAGGTGATAAAGCCTATCAAACACAAAATTGGGATGATAGATGATGCCATAATTGCCATTATGATGGATAATTCTATGAGAGGAACTGTTCATGGGAGAACAGGGGCAGAGGGAAATGGAATCACCAGAAACATACATAACTTCAAATTTCTGTGTGGCTTAGTGTTGTGGCATGACATACTGTTTGAAATAAATGTTGTAAGCAAAAGACTCCAAAGGTGTTGACCTTGATATATCTGGAGCAATGGAACAACCGGACAAAGTAAAGTCATACCTACAGTCTTACCGTCAGATGAGGGATTTCAAAACGTTCTGAAGAGTGCACAGAAGTTGGCAGAGGAACTTCACACTGAAGCCATTTTCCCACCCATTCTAGAATACAAGAGTCACCGAAGAAGAAGAGGACGACATTTTGATTATGAGGCACGGGATAATCCCATAAGAGACCCCAAACAACAATTCAAAGTTGAATTCTTTAACTAGGGGCTAGATGGTGCAATGCAGTCAGTTGAAGAACGTTTCATGCAGCTCAAGGAACACAGCAGTATATTTGGGATTTTGTATGATATTCCAAAACTTTTCACTATACCTGAAGACGACCTACACCAGCAATGCAGGGCACTAGAGACAGTGTTGACACATGATGGCATGCGCAATATTGATGCGAGTGATTTAGGTGATGAACTGAAAGTCCTTTCAAGATACATTTCAGCAGGATCAACTCCAAAGGCTGTTCTGGAATATATGTGCACAAATAAGATGACCACCCTCTTTCCAAATGCTTTTGTTGCTCTGCGCGTATGTCTAACACTTCCTGTAACAGTTGCCAGTGAAGAACGTAGCTTCTCCAAGCTGAAGTTAATAAAAACACATCTACGCTCCACAATGACACAGGAGAGGCTGGTCGGCCTTGCAGCCATCTCAATAGAGTATGAGCTGACCAAGACTGTGGACCTTAAGCAGGAAGCACTTCAAATCTTTGCAACCAAGAAGGCACGGAAAGCACCACTATGATTATTCAAACAAATAAACATGCCAGTGTTTACTATGCAGACAAGAAAAGTTGCATTTGCTGATCAGGTGTTTCAAAGTTAAGTATTACTTAAAATTTTGGAACAAGGTATTTTAAATTGTTAGTTCTCCTTTATTGGGGTAGGTAGGAGAGCAGTACCATGAGAGGAATAGAACAGGAAGAAGGCAGAATTGAGACTTTTCAAAGTTTTGGCCCAAGCAAGGGAGTATGAGGGCACCATTTGAACTCCCCGCCTCAGGTGCCAAAATGTTGTGGGCCGGCCCTGAGCTAGCTGTACAAGTCTCTCAGCTCTATCTTGGCATAGAATTCCTCAACTCCTCTTGGCAATTTGGGGATTGTGCTACTCAACCAACATATTGTGAAGTGTAAAGTTTCTCAGGTGTTCGAATTAATCTGTTAACTTTCCTGTTTTTGGATCAGTAAATATTTAAATAGTATAAGATAGCTTTTAAATGGAATGCTACTACCTCTGTTTTCTATTGTAACCAGACTCAAACTATGCTTCCTACTACAAACCCAGCATTAAAATCTAGGGTGTCTGCGCTCCACAGTATCTTTGTCTGGATGAAAAACTCTAAATTCATAAGAATCAGGAAAAATAGATTTCAATCCAAAACTTTCAGGCTAAGGGACTCATTCAAAATTGATAAAGGACAATGGGAATCTTTTCACTCACTTTAATGGACTTTGCTATATGATCTTATGGCTTGTTCCAATTTATTGTAAGGGTAATAAACTTGCTTTAAAAAACAACTTTATATTCACTCCTGGCCCTTTAAAATTCCTCCTGCCTGGAAGAAAGGCAGTATTTTTACAGGCATTCTGTCTTATCCAGTGGAATTTACTTGCAAGAATATAGAGGTGTTTTAAAGGACAGACTGTTTCAAACAGGAGTGTCAATAATGACTTCTACCACTATTGATTTCTTTTTAACAAGGTTTTGATTAAAAATGTTATAAATAGGATGCAGAATTGTTACCACCTATGTTATTAAGCATGGGATTTAATTACTAATACATTCTCCCATTCTGATAAGAATATTTGTGATAAAGACAAATATAGTGGAAAATATATTTAGCAAGCTATAGCAAAATTTCTCTTTGGTCCTCTTCAGTTCTCTGCCCTCTCTTTTCCCTTGATAGGATAGTTGATTCTCTATGCTCTGAACTCTCCTCCCCCTTGACTCCTTTACCCTTCTCTCCCGTTGCAATGTCTTCACCCTGACAATCCCCAACCCAGCTCACTCCCAACATCTGCTTCCTCTGGTCCTGCTCTCACGCTGTGCAGCATCTCTGGGGGAAATCTCATGACCAGGCTGACTTCTTCCATTACAAATGTATTCTCTTCTCTTTCAGTTCTACCGTCTTCCTAACAAGCAATTCTACTTCTTCACCTAACTCAATCTCATATTCACAATACCAACTGCCTTTAGGCCAGATTTTACTCCTTCCTCACACCCTCCTTCCACAACCACACACACACACACACACTTCCACTTCCCTCTGCAAAAGTTGGACTGATTTCTTTGAAGGAAAAAAAAATTACAAACTTATGTGACCACCACCACCCTGCCCATCTTCCTTTCTCCTCCTCCAACTTCCTCCTCCTTCTTCCCAGTCATAGATGCAGAAGTTTTTCCATCTTCTCTCCTCTTCTATCCCTGCCACTTTCCCTAGTAACCTCATCCCATCTCCCTCGTGTCCCCGCTCCTTAGCCTCTCACTCTAAGCATTCTTTAGTCTTTCATCTTAACCGCCCCTCCCTGACCCAACTTGCCTCTTCCACTAAGGCCCCATCTGCCTTCTCCCTCTCATTTCAAAGTTCATTGAACACACCGTCTACAATTGTTGTCTGGAGTTCCATTTATCCAATTCCATCCTACCTAGACCCATCTCCAATACAGCTTCTGCTCCTCACACTCCACTGAAACCATGCTTGCCAAAATTTCTAATTACCTCTTCCTGGCCAAATCTTGTAACTAGTACACTCTATCCTTCATCCCTGTCCTCCATCATAAACACAAACTACTTGTTTGCACTTTCACCTATCCCATCCAGCCTAATCTCTCTCTTATGCAACCAAGATCTTGGCTCCTGCATCTTCCCTGCCATTAACGCCTGACATCATCATCACCCCCTTGTTACAAACACCTTCATGTTCTCTTCAACATTTCCCCTTATGCTTGGGAGGAACTGCTCATAAATATCCGCAAAACCACCTCATTGTCCTCTGTCAAGTCCCTCCATAAATCTCTCCTCTGTCATGATGCCTACAAAACACTTGACAATGGCTAGGCTGCTTGACTTTAGTGACCCGTTTAGCCACCAAAACCATAGAGAGTACGACCCTGGCGCTTCAGAGCATAAACCACATCCATAGTGCTTACAGTCTTTCGCTTGGCACATTCAGTGTAAGTGACAGCATTGCAGATCATGTTCTCTAAGAACACCTTCAGCACTCCACAGGTCTCTTCGTAGATCAACCCCGAAATACGCTTCACCCCCACCCCCTCGTGTTGAGCCAAGTGACTAATAGCTGGCTTACTAATACCTTGGATGTTATCCCGAAGCACTTTACAGTGGTGCTTGGCACTTTCCTTCCCCAAGCCTTTACCATTCTTACCACGACCAGACATGGTGAAATCACACACACACACACAACTGAGCTGAGACCATTGCCTTGCATGCTGACCAACATTGTTACATTGTTTCCTTGTGCTCCTTTGTCCGTTTATCTGCATCCAATTGTTGTCTCCTGTCTTATAGTTAGATTGTAAGCTCTTTGGGTAAAGACTGTCTTTTGTATATGTTTGCACAGTGACTAGCACAATGGGGCCACAATCCCTGACTGGGGCTCCTAGCTGCTACCTCGATATAAATAATAAATAAGACTAATGTTATTAATAATCTGTTATTGATGGCGGGCCCCTTTCTTCATCTCAGATGGGAACTACTCCTTGGTGAATGACTCTTTGTATTGCTACTATCCTGTCATACCTTCCATCACTTAGTCCCAGCCCAGATATAAACCTTCAAATGAAGCCCACCTGCACTTGTTCATCAACACTGCAATTCTAAATGAGCACAAGACCAGCTGTCAAAGTGAATGAGCCTGAACACAGGCTTGTTCTTGGTAGCACCATAACAGTTCAGCGGATAGGTTGCAGTTTGCTGAAGACATCTGCCCTAACTAACAAAGATGCGTCTTCCACATTTCTGGTACTTCTGCCAGTCCCAGGCCAGGCAGCTCCTTTCCCTCCCTGGCTGCAAAGTGTCCTCTGAGCTGGCAGGTGTTAGCGCTGGGCCCAGGAGGAAAGCACTTGGCAGCGGGTCAGCACAGAGGGAGCTGGGGACTCTGCAGCCAGGGCCACGCAGTGGAACACAGGCGCTGGAGCCTCTAGGAGCCCAGGGCAGACCTGGAGCCAGGCAACATCAGGACCCAGCTAACAGTGCCACCTGGACAGCAGAGCCTCCTGTGGGGAGCAGGAGCTGGGCAGACGTAGAGGGGAGCTGGTAATGGTTTATGTATCATCGTGAGCCAAGGACTGTATGCGACTCTGGGAGGCTCGGGGGATGGGGTATCACAGTTCCTCCAGGAAATGAAAAAAAAAAAGAGGGAGTGATTAAGGTGACTCACTTAGGTTGTAAACACCTCCAGAGACGCTTGCATGTACTGGTTCAACCCAGGTTTTCCAGAGACCAACAGATAAAGAAATAAAATGGCTGGGTTTAAACTGACTCAGGGCTTTCTTTCTGATCCAACAAACAGACAGACCCTTCTGTCCTAGGGGGACCCCCAGCCCTTGCAGAAGAGTTGGAAAGCCTTTACCCTACTAGGGTGCCATAAGATTGATGGGTGACCTCTGGTAAGCTTTTAGCATGCATATAGGAATTTTTTTTTTACATGTTTTCTCTGTAATGCTTTTAACCTCAAGAATAAAATATGCTTACTTACAAAGAGCTGTGTGGCAACTTGCAACAGCTGGCAATACACAGTTTATAGCCCTTGGAGAGAAAGTAACATACTGGTGCTGGCCGTTATCCAACTGCAAGTCAGTCTGCCTATTACTGTGGAAGGCAGGGAGTTGTGCTGCCTTAAAACCCTCCGTCAGAGGGGAGTGCGATGTGGTCCCTGACCAGAGATAGGTGATGGCTAGAGTGCTGAGACCTGACTGGGCACTCCTGGAATCGACCACAGAGTGGGAAAATACACATGCAACACATTTATTCATCAAGGACAGCAATATCTCATATGGGAGAAATGCAAAGGGGTTAAAACCCTCACAAAACTAAATCTAAAGGAAGGTAGCCCTGAAACCTAGGCGGATTCAGATTCAGACCATGACCCAAAATATAGAGAGGTAACTTGTTAAACATGGAAGAGAGAGGCAGATAAAAGACAGGAACAGAAAAGCCAAGAAATAAAATCATAAAGATGCAGGGTGAATCTGAAGAAGAGTGAGAGCAAAGGCATTTTTCAGCCATCTCTACCAACTGAGAAAAAAATACCAAGGAGTATATCCCTTTCAATTTACACTTCCAAATGCAATTCGAAAAGAGAGGGTAGCTGTTATGAGGAAATGGTGTCCGTAAGTGAGCTCTTCAATTTTTAGTGAGCTCAGTCTGGCTTTTTTTAAACTTTAAAAGACCCCCTGAAACTCATGGAAAAGGTATTACAGGTTGGAATTGATGCATAAAGAGGAAGGGGAAGAAAGAATATGAATGTGTGTTGACAACAATGAAAAGGGGTGAAGAAGGGGTGGCACCATAGATGTGATTTAAGCCAGGATATATAAAGGAGGAAGGGGTCTGAAATATGGCTCTGAGCAACAGATCCCAGCATTTGTTCTTTAAAGAAAATGGTGCCACAGCTCCACCCATGGTGGGGAGTCTTGATACCCCAGACGGAGTTCACCACACCAGTAGAATGGGCTAATCAGCTGGCTGTATCTGAGACTATAGGGAACCTCCACATTGTAGGGAAAGGTGGGAATTTTGTATCATTATGAATAGTATGGGGATTTTGGGAGGCAGGGAAAAACAACAAAAACAAAACAAAGCCACTGTATTATTTTTCTATTACTTTTAACCAATGTGTTGAGAGGGAACTGGAGAAAAAAACAATGTTGCAGGAGCAGCAGGTTGGGCAGGAATTTTTTTTTTAATGCCAATCTAAGTAAATATTATTCATCTTAGAGAATGTTCAAAAATCATGAGTCAGGCTCACCAAAAATCATGAGGATAACTTTAAAATCATGAGATTATGTAAAATAATAGATTGGGTGGTCTTTTTATTTGTCTTCTGCTTTTTGGGCCATTAGGGTGTACTGCGGGTCACATTCTGAAGCTTTCTCCACAGCCACGAGGGCTAGAAACTTACTTTTTTCTTTAAGAATGAAGGATGAAATCATCACATATCCACGTGACTCCAGGAGCTGGGGCTTTAAGAAAAATAATCATCATGGAACTCGTGACAAAATCATTAGAGTTGGCAATGCTGCCCAGGTCATGCCCCCCCCCAACACACTGCTATGTGACCTGGGGGGGAAACTGCAGAGAGGTGTTAGCCAGAGGCTCCAGCTGACAGGGGCAGAAGCACCAATGCAGAGACCTTTGGACATTCAGAGAATTTCCCATAGTTTTGACAGGGAGCAGGGGGGGGGGCAGGGTTGGAGAAACCTGACAGTCTCTTTACCTCAGCTTTGCTCCACACCTGCCCCTCTTCCCCTACCACCCCCTCACTTTCTTCTCTCCTCCCCCACCAGCCCTCCCCCGCCCATATATAGCTGATACTCTCTTAAGTAAACCCACCCCCTCAAAAATCCTGGAACTAACATGTTTCCTGCCATCACATAGTTCACTGGGCTGGTATGTTACACCCCTCCCCCATCCTATGGGTATCTTGCCTATTTAGATTGTAAACTCTTTGGGACAGGGACTGTCAACTACTGTGTAGATATGTCTACACTATGGAGACTATACCAGTATAGTGAGGTCAGTGTAGCTATGCCAGCATAACCACACAGTACAGATGCAGCCTACATTGATAGAAGGGGTTTTTCCATCGGTGTAGGAACACCGCCTCCACAAATGAAGTTAGCTGCATCAACCTGAAGCCCTCTTTCATCAGCACAGCTGCATCTGCTCTAGGGGTTATGTTGGTCAGGGATCTGGAAAAAACCAACAGCTCTGACCAACATAACTCTGCCAACATCCCCCAAAGTAGATGCAGCTGTATTGACTGAAGGGAGCTTTGGATTCATGTAGCAAACTTGATTTGAGGAGATGGCGTTCCTGCAAGAGGGGCCGGGGGGGGTTCCCCACACCTGACCATCATAGTTATGTTGACCTAACTTCTCATTGTAGACCAAGTCTATATTTGTACAGCACCTAGAAGAGTGGAGACCCATTCTTGGCTGGCCCTTAGGCACCACAACAGTAAACACTATTATTCATAATAATAATCATAGGCCAAGATGGTAAATGCTTGTTGATTAAAGGTGCAATTGGAAACAAAATACTAACTTTAAGAAGCATCTATCCCTCAGAAGCAGAGGTCAATTGCTCTTTTTAAAAAAAAATTCTCCCAACTCTTGGAAGAATTTGGAGAAGGGGATATTGTGACAGTGGGTGGGGTCAGAGCTGTGCCCTGATCCTAAAGGTAGACAGATCAGACACCAAAACAGGCTAAAACTACTAGTAGGTACACATGATTTGTGTGACTCCTGAAGATGCCCCACTGCAAATGAAAGAGATTATTCCTTTTATTCGATTCCACAGCGAATACATACACAAATTGATATGCTATTAATTTCCAAATCAATGTTTCATAACGCTATTCTGGCTAAACAAGGATGTATGTGCTGGTCCGATTATGCGCCATCTGGCTTTTCATTAGAAACTGAGGGCACAACTAAAACAAATATATGGAGATTAAACGTTCCTCTTTTATGTACTCAGAAGAGAATCCATAACATTAGAGAAGAAATTACACTTCAGAAAAAATAACGTGAGCCAGGTTTAAAAGAGCACTCTCTGGAACTCAGGAGTAACTTATTAAGTGATTAATCCTATGATATCAAGGTTAGAAAAGAAGAGACACCAGAACCTCTTGAGAGAAGTAGAAAGACTTAAAGCTACATCAGACAAATCAATCCCAGAGCATGTACAAGAGCCTAATTGAAGCTAGAGGTAAATTAAACCTGCTATAAACTGAAAAGGCAATCAGATTTACAAAACAACAACAGTATTATGAAAAAAGCAACAAAAGTGATAGGCTACTTGCTAATGGACTAAAATATATACAAGATAATAAAAACCAGACCTCCAGTCACTCCTTGACTAGCAAGAGAGAAGGACTGGCTCCTGAGCTAAGGAAGAAACCAAATCATTAATCATCATCATTTGCAAGTCCAAAAGATATACATGAGGCATTTACAAATTTCTACAGGATGCTTTATGCCAGCACATCCCAAACAAATAAAAGTTTATAGAATTAATGCAAAGCTCCCTAAAATAGAACAGATAGACCAGGAGCATTTACACCTGATGAAGTTGCAGAGATCATTAAATCACTTAACACAGTAAATCTTCAAGCCTGGATGGGTTTCCCCCGGAGTTCAGAGCACAACTGGCA